ACAAACGCTCTTTCTCCTCTTTCTCCTCCCTTCCACGTGACATTGAAAGAACAAAGGAACGTACAGAGGTTGGTGACGGCGTTGGCGAGGGACACGTCACGGTACTCGCGGTACATGTTGTGTGTGTTGGAGCGAGAGTCGTAGCGGAGCCAGATGCCGTAGTTGCGGACAACACCCCTTCGCTTCTCGTGGATGCGGGTGATGCGAAGAATCTGGCCGGTGGAGCGCTTCATCTTCTTGAGCTGGGACAGGAAGTACCAGAAGCGGCTCTTGGCGACCACCTCGTTGGGAGCGAAGATGGTCATCTTGTAGAGCGGCTGCTCGGGCTCCTTCTCAGTCGGGAGCTTGCGCCCGATGATCTCGTATTGCCGCAGCTGCCAAAAAAGCAAGCGGGAAAAGGAAACAACGAGAGATAGGGAGGGGGGAGGGAAGAAGAGAGAGACACGACACAGGTTAGACACGGGACAAGCGACAGACATGGTGAGTGAACCAACACACACGTTGTTAGCGGTGAGGTGCTGCTGGTGGTGGCGCACAACAGGCGCGGAGGGGAAGGGTTCGACCTTCCACAGAAAGGGCACGCGGCACAGTGGACAGCAACAACCACCAGCAACAAGAAGCACACGAAAGCCACTGTGTGGTGGTTGCGGCAGAGCCTGGCTGTGGTGGTGAAACATGCCATAGAACCGGCACCCTTTTCAAGTCCCCATCATCTCCACACATCCGGTCCAAACCGCTCAACGAGCGGGCGTGCTGGAGCTGGAGCTGGAGCTGGAGCTGGAGCTGGAGCTGGAGCTGGAGCTGGAGCTGGAGCTGGAGCTGGAGCTGGTGTTGTCGATGAGCGTCGTTTCGCATCAGCAAGCGTCATCAGCAACATCCTGCCTGAGCCACGGCTGCACACGCGCGTGCACACCTCGCTGTTGCTGTTCACTGCCGTAGCTTCGGCGACGGATCCACCAAGCAAAGACCTTCAACCAAAGCCACAACCACAGCCACAGCCACAGCTACAGCCACAACCACAGCCACAACCACACACACACACAGCCCTGCCACAGCCACACACACACAAGCACAACACGTGGGGGAGAGCTCACCTGACCAGACACCTTCATCCTGGCGGTCGTGTATCAGGGGTTGCACTCGTGGTGGTGGTGGAAGGGGAAAAAGGCACACTCTCACACACGCGGATTAGCAGAGGGCCAATTTTTCAGGGCATGTGCCACGCTGTTTTGCGGTGCGGCTCGATGCACATGAAAGATATTCACAAATTATCATCACACGGAGGGAATGTCGAATTTGGCAGCCGCTCAAAAATGAACAGTTTTATTCATTTTGAACACCACTCGAAGCATCGAATCAAAGAATCGAGGAAGAAAAATCACAACACGCTGCTCGTTCATGCTTTCTGTGCGAAACAACCAACCAACCATTCAGGCAAGCAACCGATGCAACCTGACTCAACCCCCCCCCCCCCCCACGGCAACACCTTCATCACCTCGCACATGCTCATAAAAGGCGGAAACACAAAGAAAAAAGAGAGGGAGAAGAAAACAAGAAGCAGAGATGAAAGTCAAAGAGGGGGAAAACGCTCATGGGAATGGGTGCAGGACAACAAATGAACATTGGGATCATTGGTGTGAAAACACAGTGCGTGCATATGCATCTCAGCATCTCGCACGACTGGTAAACACGGCGTCCCTGCACAAACAGGCACACACACACATACACACACACACACACTCGACAGCCGAGGAATTACGCAGTTGCCTCGGAGCTGGTGGTGGCAGTGCTGCGTTGTTTGGAGACCATGTGGTCAACAATATCGGAGACATATGTCAGGCGCGAGCTGAGGTTCTCCAGCGATGGGTGGTTGCTCTTGGCCACGTCGTCCAGGAAGTACGTGTTGGTCTCGCCCTCGGTATTGATGAAGGTGACGGTGTCGCGTGGCCCGTTCACCACAAGCTTCGAGTGGTCAAAGAAGTTGACCTGCACGACGCCCACGTTCATGCGGAAAACAATGGCGTGCTTGGTGCGCAGCCACTTGTTCACGACGGCCAGGCCAGGCTCATACACACGCTTGTCCGCAAGCATGGCATCGGGACCCTGGGTATGCACAGACACGAGGCAGTGGCAGAGCCCATGCACAATGATGAGTCGATTATCGTAGCATAGCAGGGGGGGGGAAGAGGGACAAAGAAAATTGAGATGGGAAGAGGGAAGGCGAGGGTCAAGTCGACAGAGACAGAGAGAGAGAGTGTGTGTGTGTGTGTGTGTGACAGAGAGAGAGAGAGAGAGAGTGTGTGTGTGTGTGTGTGTGTGTGTGTGTGTGACACAGAGAGAGAGAGAGAGACGCAAGAGCAAAAGCACAACAACCAGCAACCACACACACACATACGCGCGACCACACACGCACACGTGCATGGAGCATGAATGACCCCGATCATTGTCACACACGACCAAGCCACTCACATCTTGCAGGTTTTCCCTCATGTAATCGCGGAAATACTTGAGGAGGGTGATCTTCTTATTGAGCTCATCAGGGTATGCGTCCAGCGTCATGCAAGTCACCTTGCCACCGCGGCAGTCCCGGTCCGTAAACTCAACATGCCTAATGGAAAAGAAAGCGCGTGTGTATGTGTGTGTGTGCACACGTGAGTACGGCGCAAGCGTGACACGAGCTGGATGGGAGTGTATGCAAACGTGTGCGCAACAAGGCAAGTGTTGAAGCAAGGGCCCAATCACCTCGCAAATACACCCGCGGACAGACGCACATACATACGCGCATACGCACATGTACAGATACACAGGCACACAGACACACACAAACACACACACGCACGCACGCACGCGCACACGCAGATACAGACACACAGGCACACATTCGCGCATACGCACACGCACAGATGCATCCACAAACACGTGGTACTGACTTGAGGTCTGCGGCGAGGGCAATCTTGGTGTGGTCGTTGAAGAAGACGCCAACGGTGCCGTCAGAGAGCTGGTAGCCAAGGCCATACTTGAACGAATAGTCGACCCACTTGGTCACAGCAACGCCGCGCCGCGTCTCCGCAGAGGGCGCAGGGGCTGTAGACATCAAAGGCAAAACGACGGAGACAAGAGGAGAGGAAGCAGGGGGTGGCAAAACAATGGAGCAAGGAGGAAAAGGTGGTCATAAGTGTGAGGAAGGTGAGAGGTAGTGGGGAGAAGAAGCAGTCAGGAAACCTTCACGTCACAGCGCGCAAGCCGACAACACACACACACACACACACACACACACACACACACACACACACACACACACACACACACACACACACACACACACACACAGAAGACACACACGCACAGTTGCTTACCTGGGAGGAAGGATGTAGATGCCTTTGCCTGCTCGGCAGTGACGTTGAAGAGGCGCTTGTGGAGTTTCTCGAGCTTGGAGCGCGATGATGACGACGGCACCGGGGCAGCAGCCACCTTCTTCTGTTGAGGTGAGGCAGCGGGAAGGAGGCGGGGGGTGGGGCGAGGATGGGAGAGACAAGAGATACGGCGATGAGGGTGGGAGGCGATATCGTTTAGACAGCAACAAAGGCAACAATGGTGAGAACGCGCACAACACATTGACAACAGTTTCAGACTTCACCGTCTCCAGTCAATTTCTTGCTCTCCTCATCCCCTCCCCCTTGCCGCACACACTCTGCCCCTCTCTTCTTCCTTCTCTCTCCCTCTCCCTCCACCCTCATGCAGCAGCACACCAGACGAGAAATCTGCGTGGCTCGTACCATGGGTGCGGATGTGGTGGTGGTGCCTGGAAGCTGGTTGTTGATGCTGCTGAGTGGCTGCCGCGTCGCCTTTGCGCCTGATGCGCCACGACGCGTGTCGTGCACTGCTGCCGGTGCCTGCGCGCGGGGGTGCGCGTGGTGGTGGCTGTCGCCATCAACAAGGTCGTGCACAGCCATGGCGGGGGTGCCGCTGAAGGTGGGACGCACCGTCAGCGCGCTCACAGGCAGCGTGGCCGGCACAAAGTGGGCGGTGACAAACGGGTGCTCGAGGATTGCGTCAAGGCTTGGCCGCTTGGTGGGCTCCGGGTGCAGCAGGTTGCGAATCAGATTCTCCGCGTCGCTTGTCACCTTGGCGGCGGCAGGGATGTTGTAGTCGTTGTGGCGGATCTTGCGGTAGGTTGTCTTGATGTCGCGCGTCTCAAATGGGGGCTTACCCACCAGCAGCGTGTACAGGATGCAGCCAATCGACCACACGTCCACCTCAAAGCTGTGGCCCTGTCGTCCTTCAAGAATCTCGGGCGCAATGTAGTTTGGTGTTCCACACAGCGTCCTGTGTGCAGGGGGAATGCCAAGGTGGCGTAGGGGACCAGGGTTAGCATTGGGTGTGTGATGTTTGCGTGGGAGGGGGGCTTATGTTCGTTGTTGTTTGTGTGTGTGCGTGTGTGATTGCGTACAACCACGCGCACCAGGCAAGACAGTCACAGCAACAGTAGTAACAGCAATAATGGCAGTAACAGCACCACCAGCATCCCCGTGCGTGACTCACTTCTTGCGCTCGCCGTCGTATGTGACGGTGGTGGCGAGACCAAAGTCGCCAACCTTGACGTCCATGCGCGACCCGAGGAAGAGGTTGCCCAGCTTGAGGTCACGGTGGATCACCTTGCGCTTGTGCATGTACTTGGTGGCCAGCACAATCTGCACGAGGTAGTAGCGCGCCTCGGCCTCCGTCAGCGCCCGGCGGCGCTTGTGCAGCTCCATCATCGACTGCGCACGGTTGGTGGTGGTCATGATCGTGGACCATGTGAGCATTGGGCGTCGTAACGGGTGCCAACATGACAAGCGTAATGTGTTACACTGCAACACACTTTCCGCAATAACACACACACAACCTACACACAGCCTACACACACGCACTAACGCGTGCACACACACACACACACACTCACATACACACACACGCACAACCTGCACACACGCACGCACAACCTGCACACACACACACCTGGTTGGGGCACAGCTCAAGGAGAATGTAGACGTTGTTCTCGTCCTCAAAGAAGCTGTGAAAGTCAACGACGTGCTTGTGCCTCAGGCTCTTGTGGATCTGAATCTCGGAGCGGAGCTGCAGCGCACAGACATTGACATGTGTGAGGGCAGTGGGAGCGACGTGGCAAGGATGTGGGAGTGGATGCGAGTGCATTGCAATGGCATTCAGAGAGCGTTACAGAGGCAGAAGTGGCTTGAAGGGGATGGACTGGGCATGGACCGGCTTGGTGTGGCGTAGCGGCCAGCCGTTTACACGACAGCAGACACGCGCTCACATGAGAGCAAACAAGATAGTGCTGGTGCCACTGACCTTCTCCTTAGCGCGGTGCTTGGTAAGAGTGGCCTTTGACACAATCTTGCCTGCGTAGACCTTCTTGGTCTTGACATCTGTGAGCTTGTAACAGTACGCAAAGCCACCCTGCAGAGATGATGATGATGATGATGATGATGATGATGATGATGATGATGATGATGATGATGATGATGATGATGATGTGCGACGATGTGAGATTGATTCAAGGGTCAGTGATTGCAAGGGCGTGTGCAGTATTGCATGCCTAGGGTGTGGTGCATGGTTTGTCGTCCTCAGGCAGATAGCGCAGAGACACAAGGCCGCGCACACCCACCCAGGCAACACACCACATCCACACACACGCATCCACACACACGCATCCACACACACACACACACACAACACACCACACACACACACAACCCACACACACACACACACACACACACACACACACACACACACACACACACACACACACACACAGGCCTCAGAAGATGTGTCGAACCTTTCCGAGGAAGCTGCCGCGCACGTATTTGGAGCCCGTGTGCTTGTCATAGATGGTGTCTGGAATGGTGCTGGAGCGGGACGAATGCTTGGTCACCCCAGAGGTGGGGGCGGCATATGTCTTGGGCACATGGGGACGCAAACTAGTCATGGTTGACGGTCTACACACACACACACACACACACACATACACATCCGCAGAAACGAGAACAAGGTGCCAGGACCGTATGTGAGTGAAACGAAATGATCAAGCCACACGAGGCTGCGGCTGAAGATGATGAAAGTGATGGGGCTGGTCATGAGGTGTCTCTTGGTGATGATGGTGGTGGGGCTGCAGCTGATGATGCTTATGATGATGGGCAGGCTTGATGCTGCGGCGCTACAGACACGAGGTCGTTTGCATGTGGCTGCTTGTGAAGCTGTTGTTCGCTAGCGAGCATTGCGATGGGAACGAACACATCGAGTCTACCTCTCACCACCACCACCACCACTTCAACAACAACAACAACCACGACAACGAGAAGCTCGCTCTGCGTAGAAGCAGCCGACCAACCAACGCACCTGTTGTGTTGCGACGAGTTGTAGTTGACCTACGCGAGTTCCGTGAGTGAAGCGAAGAGGAGGGCGAGGCGATTTCACGTGTGGCTGTCGTCGTTGCTGTCGTCGTTGCTGTCGTTGCTGTTGCTGTGGCTGTGGCTGTGGCTGTGGCTATCGTCGTCGTCGTCGTTGGTCCTTGTACTGGTGGTGCTGACCTGCTTTGAGGATCAATGGTCGGTCGGGGGTGTGTATCTGCCGGGGGTTGCGCGGGAGGTTGGTGCTGGTGGTGTTTGTGGTCTGGCGGAAGGAGGAGGGGAAGTGGGAGACTGCACTCGCTGCTGCTGCACAAAACCCTCAAACCTCAAAATTCGAAAATTCCCGCGCTGAGCAGTCAGTTTTGACAGCTATGACAACCAATTCCGCATCCGCGAAAATCTTTCACAAATCCTCGTGGTCAGGAACACTATGTGCATCGAATCAAACACGTTCTTTTTTTCATTCCTCCATCATTTTTTTTTTCGCGCACAACACAACGCCAGCACGTGTGCAGGAGCAAACACAAGCATCATCGCGTGCGTGTCCTCCTCGTGTTGAGTGAGCGAGAAGAAGACCAGACGGCAGACACGGGCAGACGGCTGACAGTGCACACGACAGACATCGGGAGTGAGCGAGCAATCGATTGGCTACCACCTCGTTGCGTGTACGTTTGCTGTGATACGCAACATAGACAGCTAGCTGAAGCACTAACCGTCATCATGTCGATGGCACAGCCAAAGGCACGCTCCACATGGAGCAGTGATCCTCAAGGAACAACGTGGGCCAAAGGTGCGCTGTTTGTTCGTGCACTGTGCGCAGGCCTGTGTTTGCGTGTGTATGCGTGATTGTGTGTGTGTGTGTTGTTTTTGTGTGTTCAAGCGATCATGCGCGAGTCTGTGTTTGTTCTTTGTGTGGTTTGCGGAATATGCGCATAGCCAACACAAACACGCACAACACGCAAACGCACGCAGCTCACTCTTGCCTGCTTGTCTTGTTTGGGTTTTGGCCGAAACGCACAGACGAAAGCAAGTTTGGCTTTCGTATGCTGCAGTCCATGGGGTGGCAGAAAGGACAAGGTCTCGGGGCACGTGCAAGCGGACAGACCTCCCACGTCAAGATTCGCAAAAAGTCCAACTTTCTCGGTGCGCATGCCATGAACTCTCCATCCAACCGTGCAGTGCCTCTGTTTCCGCCGCAGCACTGCTGTAATGCAACTGCTGTTTTGAAGTTTGCACTGCTGTTCAGTAGATGCTCACCAAATATGTACTACGCCCCCCTTGCCTCTCTCCTCCTCCTTTTTCTCTTGCTTCCCTCCCTCCCCTCCTCCTTCGCGTGTCTGCAGGCGTTGGCGCCAACAATGACACGGACATGAACTGGCTCAAGACACAGGACGACTTTGCCAGTGTCCTTGCTGGCCTGAACAGCGGTGGCGACGGTGACAATGACGGCAGCAGGCCAAAGAAGGCACCCAGCATGCGCTCGCGCGTGCTGTACTCGCGGTTCAAGCGGGCAAAGGACGTGAGCTCGTACTCCAAGGAAGACCTGAGCTGCATTCTGGGCGAAAACACGGTGCGGCCAGAGAGGCGGCAAGGAGAGCGGGAATCGTCTATTGAGGGCCCCAATGGATGCAACAACAGCAGTGACGACACCGCGGCAGAGAAAGGCGGCGCAGGTGGCACGGTGGAAGAGGATGCCCGGCACGGCGTGACAACAATCACGCGGACAACGAGCGTGCTGGACTACTTCACAGCAAAGCTGGCGCGGAAGCAAGGCACGGCCCCTGCAGCAGCAGACAAGACAAGCAGCACCAACAGCAGTGGCAGCGCGAGCAGTGATGACGAGGGCACCAGCACCACCACGAGCAGCGGCAGCGATGGCGCGACGGCAGATGCATTGACGAAGAAGAGCAAGAAAACGAAGAAGCAGAAGAAGAACAAGAAGAAAGGCGACGATGATGGTGATGATGATGGTGATGATGGCAGTGCAGGGGAGAGTGGTGGAGAGCCAGCAGCGAAGCGGGCGAAGCAAGCAAGCAGCGACAAGAAGAGCAAGAAGAAGAAGAACAAGAAGGAGAAGCGAAAGGCCAAGGCACATGAGGAGAAGAAGGACAAGGAGGACAAGGCGGAAGGTGGGGATGCCGGCAAGGAGGGAAAGGAGAGCAAGAAGAGCAAAGAAAAGAAGGCAAAGAAGACCAAGAAGAAGCAAGACGATAAGAAGGAGAAGAAAGAGAAGAAAGAGAAGAGGAGAAAGAGTGCGAGTGAAAGCAACGAAAGTGACAGCGGTGAACAAGTGGCAAAGAAAAGCAAGAAGAAACAGAAGAAGGGGGAGGGCAAGGAAGGCAGCACAGCGGTAATGGCAGAGAAGACGTCAAAAGCGAAAAAGCCAGCCAAGGACAAGAAGAACAAGAAGAACAAGAAAAGCAAGAGCGAGAAGCAATGACACGCAGGAAGGGAGTGCGTGAGTGTGTGGTTTTGTTATTGAAGATAATGGGGTGCAGTTGAAACAATGTTCTCTCGCTTGTCTGAGTGTACACATGCCCTTTCGTGCCTTGCAATAGAAGCGAAAACCATCAACCCCCCCCCAAACATCACCAGTTTCAGCCATGCACACGCACACACAAATCACGCCAAGCCCAAGGGCAGTACAGCTGTTCTATCTGTTGTTCATGTGTTTGCCGTACTCACATCATCGAACATGTTGATTATGAGGGCTAGTGCGACGAAGAACGAGAAAAAGGAGAAATGCATAGTTGTGAATATGTGCGTGTGCACATGTATGTGTGTGTGTGTGTGTGCACGGGCGCTAGGGTTGTTCGAGCAGCTGTGTCTGCAGCGTTGACTGCTCGGATGTCGCCGTGTTGTTGAAGGCAATCTAGAGTAGTTGGTGGTGGTGATGGTGATGGTGAAGCTTGCGGTGAGCAGGCGAAACCGTTCTTGATCACATACAGTAGCAGTGACGACAGTCAGCAGGCAACAACACATGAACTGCACATGTGTGTGTATGTGTGTACTTGTGTGTGTATGTGTATGTGTGTTTGTGTGTGTTGTTCATGCGTGGTACCTTGTCCTTGCTTGGCATGCGTGCCCAGAGGTCAAAGACGACGGTGAAGACGAACCAGAGCACCACCAGCGCCGCGAATGTGTTGTCCTGCACCCTGCAGCCCGCAACCGGTGGTTGTGAGAACGTTAAGGCAGTTGAAGAAAGGGGGTGGGGGTGTTGCAGAAAGAACGCATGTGCAGACTGACAAATAAATGGGTGTGGTGCACACACACACACACACACACACATACATACATACACACACACTCACACACACACACACACAAGCATATCGGCACAGGCACCATCGACTCACGACTTGACTGTGATGACATCTGGGATGATGAAGGTGACGAGGATGCCAACGAGACGGAAGAGGATGCGGCTTTGCTTCCGAAACCGCCGCTTTCGGTAGCCGCCCAGCCCACCGGAGGACAGCACTTGCTGTGGTGGTGGTGATGATGATGGTGGTGGTGGTGATGGTGATGATGGTGGTGGTGGTGGTGGTGATGGTGGTGGTGAAGGAGGGAAATATGCCAACCACATGACGAGCAGTGAGCGCCACGCCAGAGCAAGTTGAGCGGCAGTTCACGTTAACTGTGTGCATCTCTTACTCTACACCCCCAAAACACACACACACACACACACACACACACACACACACACACACACACACACACACACACACACACACACACACACACACACACACACACACACACAGGTGCGGACCTGGAAGACAGTGACGAGGGATGCGCAGGCGAGCGGGCGGCAAAGCCAGTACCGCCGCAGGCTCGAATTCGAACCTTGATGGGGCATGGAACGAGGTGGTGGCGCATGCACGGTAAGACGCACGTTGTATCACGCATTGGGAGTGCATGCATGCAAGTACACACCAATCCCAACTAACACGAGCACAACCGGATGCTCCTTCCAACCCATACATGTGCATATGCGCGTATCCACTCCGCAACACGTGGACATAGACACAGACACCGACACTGCCACAGATACACACCCTCCTGCACATACACAGACACACAAGACGACACAGACACACGCTCACACAGACACACACACACACACACACACACACACACACACACAGACCCATCCCACATCACGCCCTCGGCCCTGAAGAGGCAACGCGGGCTGACGAACCAACAAAGTCGCTGAGCGTGCTGCCGACGAGCACGGTGCCAACATTGAGGAAGAAGTGCGACACTTCCCACGCAACGCGATATCGGTCGTGCTCCTGTGTCCTGGTGGCGCCGAGCGGAGCAAGCGATGGGGGGGGGGTGGTTGTTGTTGTTGTTGTGGTGTTGGTGTTGTTATTGTTGTTGTTTAGCATTGCACAAGGTTACCAAGGATCATGGCAGCTGAGTGAAACACAGCACAAACACGCACATGCACCAGCGATACACGTGTTCGCACAAGTGCCAGCATTGCCACCGCCATGCTGTTGCTCTCTCTGTCTCTCTCTGTCTCTCTCTGTCTCTCTCTGTCTCTGTGTCTCTCTGTCTCTCTGTCTCTGTCTCTCTGTCTCTGTCTCTCTGTCTCTGTCTCTGTGTCTCTGTGTCTCTGTGTCTCTGTCTCTCTGTCTCTCTGTGTGTGTGTCTCTCTCTCTCTCTCTCTCTGTCTCTGTCTCTCTCTCTCTCTCTCTGTGTGTTTGTACGTACCTAACGAGCGGGTGTCTGGACGCATATGCACTGGAGGCGGTGGGCCGGTCAACATCCACCAAGTCAAAGTATTGCAGCTGGAGACATTGGCGTTGGCGAGAGGGGTGAGAGGGGTAATGTGGTGATGGGGCGGTGTGGTGATGCAAAGACAGGCTGGTGTGGTGGTGTGGTGGGGCAGACGAACGTCGAGAGAGAGGATCGTCACACAACCATGTGCGTGCGTGCGTGTGTGTATGTGTGTATGTGCATGCGTGTGTGCGTGTGTGTGTGTGTGCGTGTGTGTGTCACCTTGAGGCCGACGACAATGAGGACGGTGAGCACAATGCGAAACGCTTCCTGTGATGTGAAAAACGTCTCTGCGTCGCTGCACGACGCGACCAGCATGGCGGTGGCGGTGGAAAGTGTTTGTGAGGATGAGGATGAGGATGAGGGGAAGCAGAGGTGTGCACAGCGAGTTACGCCATTCCCAACTGCACATCACCATCACCACCACCACCATCACTACCACCACGCTCAACAACACTGGACAGGGGTGCAGTGCCATGATGGGGCGCACTTGAGGTTGACGATGGCACGGCCGGCAACAAACGCCAGCGCCATACTCGCAAACCGGCGGTGACGCGACGCGAGCCTGTCAATCGATGATGATGGTGGTGGTGGTGGTGGTGGTGGTGGTGGTGGTGGTGGTGGTGGAGTAAGCAGCAGTAGGTGGTGGAGTAAGCAACAGTAGGTGCTGGTCTCTACCACGCCACATCACAAAGAAGTATCACCACGAACATCACCACTTCACCGCCACCACCGCCCGTCACGACAATTGCTGCTCACAGGTCTGGGTGGAGCGGGACGCGTTCCTCGGGCTTGAGGGCGAACTGCGGGGGAAAGAAGTGCGGAACCACAAACGCAATCAACTCAAAGCTGATTGTCACCCACCACATGGCTGCGGTGGTGATGGGAAGATTTGGTGCAGGGTGGAGGGGATGAGAGAGATAGAGGAGGAGGGGTGACTGAAGGGGCATATGAATGCAAAGAACTTTACGCAATCATACACATGGTATCGCACATATACAAACAAACACACACGCGCACACACATATAAACACACACGCACACGCGCGCGCTCTCGCAGTGCAACGCACTCTCTGTTGCATCGTTGAGCATGGAGGTGATGGCCCACAAGAGAAGGACAAGACTCTCAATGAAGATCTGTACGCGCCGCGCAAGCAATACAGCAGAGATGAGCAGCGATGATGATGGGGAGGGGGAGATGGAGGTGGCGGTGATCTTGCTCAACGTCGACGCAGCGGCAAGTGTTCGGCACGCCCAAGGGCATGTGTGCACAATAGCGAACGTGCAGACGCACGCAATACACAGCTGCGCACACACACACGCACACACGCACGCAAGCCATGGGTTGCTCCCCCCCCTTCTTCTTTTTCACACACACACACACACACACACACACACACACACACACACACACACACACACACACACATACAACACACCACAATGGCCGCGGCTGCACCTGTCTGTAGAAGAATCGCTTGAAGCGGCGGTTGAAGTGGAAGGCATACAACAGATGAAACAAATGCACTGCCCGCAGGCCCGTCAAGCTCCCTGTCAGCAGGTGGCACACAGGTAACATGGCAATAGTAAGCACGTGATCTGATGTCTGGTTGGCACAAATGCAGTCGCATCGACGCATTCACGCACACACACACATGCACATGCACACATGCAAACACACGTGCACATTACACACATGCGCGTGTACGCATTCAAACCCACCCACATATGTACACACACACACATTTATTTATATACGCTCTCTCTCACATTCACGCTTATACACACACGAACACACACATTCACGCTTACGCACGCAACGCGACTGCACCTGTGTATTGTGGACATCTGTCCGCGTCCTCGAAGAATCGGGTGGCACAGGTGCCGATGTTGACCCCGACGTAGCTCATCAAGACCATGTTCACGGCAAAGAGGATGGTGGACACAAAGTCTTCCACATCGAAGCGGTTGGTGATGTGCGAGGTCTTCAGCCACTGCCAGAAACTGTTCAAGAAGACCAAAGGGGTCACAGCACGTGAGGAGAACAACAAGTGTGGAGCCACAAGGCGCCCAAGAACACTGCTTGCGCACACACATTTTGTGATCTATGACAACTACACAAGCATCAGGTGAATGGGCGTGTTGTCTTCGCCATCCTTCATCCCTTAACTCCAACCCTCCCGGCGCTCTCCACAGCACCACGGGCTTTCACCGCCGTACATGGGCAGGAAGAGGAGGATGAAGACGTCGATGCGGCCAATGTCCGCCTCTGGTTTGTCGTAGGCGTTGCCGAGGTTTGCTAGGGCCCGCGCAACCGTGAGGTCCAGGACCAGGTATGAGGAGATGACTGGTCTGCGGGCGTAGTTTTCGTAGTCGAAGCCCTGCTGCCTCGCAAACGGCGGGCGACACCAGGGCAGATACAGGATGTCTTGATTTGCCTCTTCCTCAGTGCGCCCACCAAGGACTTGTGTTCTCCTCTTCCGTCGTGTGGTGCTGCCACTACTGCTCGTGGAGTCGTTGTTCCTGTTCCGCCTCATGCGAAACCGCAGCGTACTCATGCGCGATGAAGACGCACCAGTAGTAGTGGTCTGCTGCTCCTCGTCTGCTTCATCTTGCTCTTCTTCCACATCCATGGCTGTTGATCGCGGTGTTTCTGCCGTTGTCATTGTTGCCGAACCTTCCCCAGCGTCGTCCTGTTGGCTGTACCCATCACCGCCGTGTTCATGACTCCCACCGCTGCTGTGTCTCTCATTCCCATCACCACCATCACCACCCATGCCTTGCTGCTCCCCACCACCACCACCATTCATCATCATCATCATTGGCCTCGCTGTATCCGCTACACTTTGTGGTGTCGCAACTGAGTTTTCAACCAAAACAACAACAACTGCTGCTTCGCCTGCCTGCCAACCAATCGCTCGCGTCTTGCTCTGGTGCGTCTTGCTGGTGCGTCGTGCTGGTGCGTCGTGCTGTGCTGTGCTGTGCTGCGGTGTGGTGTACAATGACATGCATGCATGTGCTCCTGTAGCCCGGACTGGCGCAACTGCCCTGCTCCTTTCTCGTGGCAGTTCACGTTTGTGATGTGATGTGGTACGGTTCATCGCCTTCACTTGTGATCGTGCATCTCACAAGTTTGCCTTGTTGCTCATGACATTCATCGCTCCCTTGCTGGTGACCACATTTGCGGAACCACTGCTGCTGCTGCTGCTGCTACTACTACTACTACTACTACTAGTACTGCTTGACGGCGCTTGTTGCAGAACGCACACAGGACCTTTCTCGCTTGCCCTGCTACCAATCAGAGCTCTCTGCACACACGCACACACGCGTACACATCCCCGCATATACGCCTACACACAACCATGGACACGGGCATGGATGTGGACACGGCTTCGTCGTCAATGGCAGACATCTACGGCGACATTGCCAACTACCAGATTGAGAAGAAGATTGGCCGCGGGCAGTTCTCTGTGGTGTACAAGGCTCGTTGCCTCGTGAACAACCAGCTTGTCGCCTTCAAGAAAGTTCAGGTGTGTGTGCATGTGTCTGTGTGCGTTGTGCGTGTTTGTTTGTGTTTCAATCTTTGTGTGCGTTGTGCGTGTTGTGTGAACGCATGTGCGTTGTGCGTGTTGTGTGAACGCATGTGCGTCGTGCGCGCTTGTGTGTGTTTGTGTGTGTGTGTGTGTGTGTGTGTGTGTGTGTGTGTGTGTGTGTGTGTGTGTGTGTGTGTGTGTGTGTGTGTGTGTACGTGCGAGTTTTGTTTGAACGCTGTGGCATGTCATGCAACGTTGCCTTGGCCAAGTTCTTGTTCCATGCGGGTATCTTCTGACCCACCACACGATTTCTTCTTGTTCCTTTCACCACAAAACGATGGTTTGCGCGCGCGCAGATCTTTGAGATGCTTGATGCCAAGGCAAGACAAGACTGCATCAGGGAAATTGACCTGCTCAAATCCCTTGACCACCCAAACATTATCAAGTATCTCGCGTCCTTCATTGCCAACAACGAGGTGCAGCCAGCATGCGCTGTGTGTGTCTTGTGTGTGTGTGTGTGTGTGTGTGTGTGGGTGTCTTGTGTGGGTATCTTGTATGGGTGTGTGTATTTTGTTTAGCTGTACGTTTAGTTGTTTGCCGCCTTGCTTGCTTACTTGTGCACACGTGACTGTGCTTGCTGATTGCGTCCCTTCCATGCGTGTGGTCCAGCTGAACATTGTCCTTGAGCTTGCCGATGCCGGTGACCTCTCCCGTATGATCAAGGTCGCACACCTGTTGTGTGTGTGTGTGTGTTTGTGTGTTTGTGTGTTTGTGTGTTTGTGTTTACGTTTGTGTGTGTGTGTGTGTGGACATGTTTGTTCCTTGTCTTTGTGCGTGTGTACGCACACGCTGGCTTGCTTTGTCGCCTGCTTTGTCGCTTGTTCGTTTGCTTGTGGGGAAGCGAGACCCATCTGTGTCCTCGAATGTTGACCGGTGTGGCGCGCTGTAATTGCTTGTGCACCACAACAGCACTTTAAGAAGCAACGTCGCCTCATTCCAGAGCCCGCAATCTGGTATGGCGCGCATGTACCTCTTGTCCTCCACCTGCAGTGCGGGTGCACGTGCACGATACTGTTTCTGCACAGCTGTTGTGCTGACTGCTTTACCACACACGCACATTCACGAATACCTCGTGCACACACCAGCACACGCACACACGCACACTCGCACACGCACATGTTTTCACACGCATGTGCACTAACTCTCACCCTCTTGTACGCACACACACGCATACCCATTTTTGTTGAAGGCGCTACTTTGTGCAAATCTGCCGTGCTCTCGATCACATGCACTCGCGTCGTGTCATGCACAGAGGTGAGCCTTTGGCAAGACCTCCACTGTCTCTGCTGCCTCTCTTGTGTCGATCGCTCATGCCCACGTTGAACACACTCACTCTCACTCACTCTCACTCACTCACTCACACTCACTCGCACACTCACTCACTCACTCGCACACTCACTCACTCACTCACTCTCACTCACACACACACACACACTCACACACACTCACACACACTCACACACACTCACGTATGTTTACACCCCGCATTCACTGCCGCCCCTCCTACACCAACCCAACAGACATCAAGCCTGCGAACGTGTTCATCACGGCCGACGGCACGGTCAAGCTTGGGGACCTTGGCCTCAGTCGGTACTTCAGTTCCCGCACCACTGTCGCCATGTCGCTTGTTGGCACGCCGTACTACATGTCACCTGAACGCATCCGTGAGCAGCCCTACGACTTTGCATCCGATATCTGGTCCCTCGGCTGCCTCCTCTACGAGGTGCGTGCATGTCTGTATGTGTGTCAGTGTGTATGCGTGTGTGTATCTTGTTTGTGTGTGTGAAAATCTGTTTGTGTGTGTGTGTGTGTGTGCATGCGCGTGCGTTGCGTGCATATAGCTTTATCCCGACCAAAGCACTGACTCCCTTCCTTGTATTATCCACACACACACATGTGTGTGTGTGTGTGTGTGCACAGATGGCGGCGTTGCAGTCGCCGTTCTATGGCGACCAGCTCAACCTCTACTCCCTCTGCCGCAAGATTGACAAGTGCGCGTATCCCCCGCTCCCCAGCGACGTCTACTCGGAGGAGGTACGCGTATGTTTGTGGGTTTGTTGCGTGTGCGTGACAGTGTGTTTGTGTGTGTTTGTGTGTGTGTGTTTGTGCGTTTGTGTGTGTTTGTTGGTTTGCGTGTCTGCGTGTGTATACCTGCTGTATACCTGCGCCAACCTGCTTGCATCCTCCTGGTGCTGTTTCCTGTCGACCACACACACGCTCTTACGTTCTTCCCCTCACGCCCCCTTTCCCTGATCCCTCGTTATTTTTCTCTTTACGTTCACCACCACCACCCACATCACCACCACCACCCACATCACCACCACCATTACCACCACCACCACCAGTTGCGGACGCTTGTGAAGCGATGCATTATTCCAGACCCGGCTGAGCGCGCGCACACCCAAGATGTGCTTGCTGTCGCAGAACACATGCACGCTGCTGCATCAAGTGCAGCCGCATAGCTAGCATGTACTGTGTACTCTGCGTTGTGGTTTTGACATGCTTGTGAACGTGTGTGTGTGAACGTGTATACGTGTGCGTGTGTGTGTGTGTGTGTGTGCGTTGGTGTATTTGTGTGTGTACGTGTGTGTTTGTTGGTGTGCGTTGTGTGCGTCTCTCTCTCTTCCTCTGTTGTGATGTGCCATGCACGTCTGCCCTTCTATTCCACCCTCGCCGCCTTCCACAGGTCCTTTTTGCTTGCGTTGCTTCATCGCTTCTGTTCTGTTTTTGCCATGTGTTGGTTTGGATTCATTGCTTTCCTGTCGCCGTTGTTACACACAATAAATACAATATCAGCACGACATCGCCATGCTTATACGTATCGTCGTTGACATACATGTTGTTGTCTTTTGTCTTTGCTCTCACCCACCACTGTGCCTCACGTCTTGCACCCAACATCAGCCAACCAGCACAGCTCACCAACCAACCCACCCCTCCAACCAACAGAAGCAACACACTCGGAACCTCTCCAACCATCCCAACCAGTCTGTGTAGATGTATGTCTGTCTGTCGCCTGTCGCGCATTTCATGACACCACGAAAGTTTAGGAAGTATGCACGCAAAAATCGGCGGTGTTTGCGTCATGCCATTCCACATTTGCCGCAACAGCCGTCGTCAGCTTTGCTTCGCTGGCTGGTGTGTGCTGTTTTCGTAATCGCACACCTGCTGTCGCGCTCTCTCACTTCGCGCTCGCCACACGCGTATCATCATCACACCACCACGCTCACCCCAACCAGCCAACCAACCAACACCAACACCAACCTGTGTCACATCACACCCGTTGACTGTGCTCCATTACTCAAGCAACACACAACAGCCCGCTTCCCGCAACAGAAGAAGCAGCGATCTCGTTCATCCGCTGCCCCCTTCCCTCTCCACACCTCCATTTATTGCCCTGCTCCGCATCTCAACCAAACACCCAATGTCTTCCGTGTTCGACGACGAGGAGAGCAACGACTGCGCGCTGCAGCCGTGTGAGAACTGCGATTGCCTGCTCTCACGCCAACACCACCACAGCCACCCTCGTCCAGAGACAGGCCACGCCCTCGCCGCAAAGCTTGACAACGCGCTCCACCTCTCCGTCGCCCAGCGCATCAACGGCGGCAGCAGCAGCAATCCCACAGTCCCTGCTTCGCCCGCCAAGCGCTGTCACTCGTGCCCATCAGGCATCTGCTCTGGGTGTAATCCTGTTTCCAGCGCCAACACAAACGCCGCCATGCCGCCCGACACGTCTGCGCATCTCCGCCAATCTCTGACAATGGCGGCGACCGCAGCAACGAAACCCGCCACCCCTGTCCCCCTCGCAGCCTACGTCCCGGCACCATCTGACTCCGCTTCCTCTCCAGCTTCCACAGCTGCGTCGACCGCAGCTGCATCATCGTCGTCGTCGTCGTCGGCGAGGCCGCGGCGGCGAAGCTCCCGCAACACCAGCACGAGCAGTGCGCACGGCGACTCGTCCTATTCGATTGGCGTCGACGTTGGCGCCGTGTTTCGTGACCCAATGTGCGACGCCTGCCCGGACTGCGATGACGTGTGCGGCCTTCCCTCCTGCGATGCATGCACGCTAAAGGCGAAGCATGTTGAGAAGCGCGCCTGCTCTCGCCGTGGCCGCGGCTGCCAGAAGAACGTCTTCACCATGTGCCAAGTTCAGCGACACAACTCGTGAGTGGCCAAACGCACGAGTAGTGTTGTGTGTCTGTCTGTGTGTGTGTGTGTCATTGTGTGCGTATCTGTGTGTGTCTTCAAAATGTGACAAGGAGTCAACAACATGCCGCTAACTCTCCTTGTTCGCCATGCACATGAATGAAACAAAACCATGCAGGGCCAGTGACTGCTGGCTGGTTGCGCATCGCAAGGTGTATGACGTGACGGCGTTTGTGCGCAACGACTTCCACCGCGCTGGCATGCAAGCGTAAGCAACCAATGCTGCTTGTGTGTGTGTGCGTGTGTGTGTGTGTGTGCGTATGTATGTTTGTGTATGTGTATGTGTGTGCGTGTGCGTGTGTTGTGTGTGTATGTATGTTTGTGTGTGTGTGTGTGTGTTTGATGGGTGAATGTCTTACATGCGAGACATTCGTGCAATGACACATCACCAAGTTGCCATCACCATGCCCATTCATGTGCTTCAACGCACCTCTCAACCAACTCATCACTTTCCCTCTCCACCAACCACAATTCCCTCCCCCCCCCCAAAAAAATCCCCCTCCTCTGCTCCTACAAACAGCATCATCCGCAAAGGCGGCACAGATGTCACGCGCGACTTTGACTTTCACTCGTCCAAGTCGAAGAAGCAGCTCTGGTCAAAGTATCTGATTGGCGTCGTTGCAAAGTGCGTACTCGCTTCTCCTGCTGATGGTGGTGGTGGTGTTTTGTTGTCTTCTGCGCATTTGTGCATTTGCGCTTGCCACCATTCCCCTTCGTGCGTGTGTGTGGTGTGTTGTGGTGTGTGTGTGTGTGTGTGTGTGTGTGTGTGTGCATTGGCCCTAACTGGTCCCCCCTCGTTGCTTCCCCACCAGTGTCTCACATTCAATTCTTTCTGTTCCCCCCCCGCGCCCTCCATGCATCTCCATTGCGTGCAGGTGCCCGTCTGAGGCGCCACATGTGCCGAAGAAGGGTGGCAGTAAGGCATCCACGCTCAAGAAACTCTTCCACCTTGCTTGGTGACACGACACGTACCACACACCCCTCCTCCTCCTCCTCCTCTCATCGTGGTTACCACCACATCGTGTGTCACCTCAAATCACTTTCCGTGTAATCAACCCTCGGCTTTCATGTCATTGTTTTTGCTTCGTTAAGACACCGTCTATTCTATGCCTGCTTGCTTTATATCCCCTCTTATCTCCATCTCTTTGCTTGTTGCCCCAGGTTACAGGCTGTTGTTGCTTCTCCTCTGCTAATGCACTCGTTACCCTGTGCACTCTACATTCTGCTTTGCTTCAATACCTGATGCTTGTTGCTTGGTGTTTTGACCCTTCCTTCTTCCTTCTCTCGTCCACGCCTGTGTGGCTTCATGCTTCGCCGTGTATTCCTTCATGCATTTTAGCTTCCCTCCTCTGCCCCGCTTACGCGGCAGCTTCTAGGTTCTCTTTCCTTCCCTTGCATCCACCCCCCCCCCTTTTTGACGTGTTGCTCTGCTGTGCTCCTTGTGTGTGCATTCTCCGATGATTGATGGTCGTGGCTTCTCACCACTACCATCCCATCAACAACACCACCAACTCACTGCAAGCGTTGTTGGAGTTGTACGGCCGTGCTGTGCCCTGCCTTTGTCCAAACAAAGAGTTTTGCTGTCGTTGGGCTCGCTTTGTTGGCTGGTGTAATCTACTCAGCTTCACGATGATGCTAGGAACGGCGCTGTGTTGTTGTGATGCTGCACCTCCGACAAGCAGTACACACAGAAACAGTCAACTTAACCACGTAACACAGCATGTAATCCTGAACAAGACGTGAACATGGGGGACAGAAATCACACCAAAAGCAACAACAACCTGTAACTAGGAATCAAGTTCATGCACAGCCATTCATTGTAACACACACACACACACACACGCACACACACACACACACACACACACACACACACACACGATCACGATGACAATTGGCCTGCCCACGCGATCACTCATCATCATCATCGTCGTCGTCGTCATCATCATTCCCATCGCCATCATCGTCATCACCAGTGTGAAGGGAGGGCAGGGCGCTGCCGTGTGCGGCAGAGGCCACAAACGAATCATCAAACGACATCATCGAGTCTTCGTTCGTCTGGAATGACAGGCGCGATGTGTCGCCCTCGGCCGACGTGTTCAAACCACCATCATCACCATCGGCATCGTCATCAGCACCATCGTCATCATCATTTTCCTGCTCCTCGTCATTGTCTTCATCACCCGCACCTTCGTTGTCTTCATCATCATCATCCTTTGCATCGCTCATCTTCGCTCGTTTCCGCATGTTCCTGTCATCGTCATCATCACCATCATTGTCATCGTCATCATCGTCGTCGTCGTGCTTGTGCTTCGTTGCCTGTGTGTTCTTCGCCTCGCGTGTCGAAGTATTGCTCTCCTTCTCATCTTCCCGCGTCTCATCATCATCATTTTCATCATCATCAACATCGTCGTCGTCGTCACCATCACCATCACCATCGTCATCTTCACCATCATCGTCTTCCTCTTCCTCTTCTTCTTCTTCTTCCTCCTCCTCATCCTCCTCTTCTTCCTCCTCTGATTCAGACTCATCGGCCTGCACCAAAGAAGGGGGCGGGATGTGTGTGTGTGTGTGTGTGAATGAGTGTGTGTGTGCGTGTGTGATGAATGTGTGAATGAGTGCATGAGAGAGTGTGTGTGGGTGTGTGTGGGTGTGTGTGCGCAAGTGAATGAGAGAGAGAGAGAGAGTGTGTGTGTGTGTGTGTGTGTGTTCGGGTGAGGCAGCGGGAAGGGCGGCTGCACGTGTGTACATGCGTGTACACAACATGTCGGACGACATACGTTCATGTCTTCGACGGCCTCTGCCAACTTCTGCCTGAAGATGCGATCGAGCGACAGCGCATCGTTGTACGTCTGCACACACACGCACAGATGGAAGGAGAGGTTCAAGATGAATGGCCACACATGAGGGGAGAAAGCAATGCATGGCGTTGTATCGAGAGCTCAGCGGCCACAGCACAGCATAAACCACAACAACGAAGCAAACACACACACATACACACACACACATGTACACGCATGCCTCGCGGGCATACTTTTGATCCGTCGGCGTAGAACTTGAGGGCGTTGTTGATGAGAGTCTTCATGTCCTGTTCAAACGCCTCAATTGTCTTGTAATTCTCCCCGTACACTTTGTCCTTAATCATCGACAGGCTGATGGGCCGACTGCACAGCAACAGCACCACCAGCACCACATGTGAGCCAATGCATGGACAGGCGTGAGTTATGTGCGCACACAAGTGTATGTACGATAGCAAAGCGCGACATTTCACCCCCCCCCGTCCAGATAAGCACCCAGACACCACCACGACCACGAACAGGAGGAGCAATTGCACGTGTGCGCACGTGATGAGGCCGTAGTACTCGGTCATCTCCTTCCTGTCCGGCAGTTCGATAAAGTCGTCGGCGAGCGGGCGACCCTGCCGGTCCGTTGCAGCCTCTGCACGAAGCGTCATCGTCACAGGTTCGTTGCATAACGGGTGAACGACATGACGCAACTGCACACTTTCATATCCGCAGCACATTTGCAGGCATACACGGCAGCCCAAACATACGCACGCACACGCACACGCACACGCACACACACACACACACACACACACACACACACACACACACACACACAGTACAGACACGCACACACACACACACAGAGCACAGCCCAGACGGACTGACCGAGCGAGTCGACGACCTCGAGGAAGACCGGCTGGAGATCAGCGGCCGTCGGCTCCGGTTTCGCCTTCTTCGTCTCCGGCTCACCGCCACGGCTGCTAGTGGTGGTGGCGGCGGTGGTGGGTGTGGCAGCTTCATCGTGTTTCCGTTTCGCACCTGTGGTGATGGTTTGCATGTTGCATGGTCCATGAGACCGCAGCACACACACACACACACACACACACACACACACACACACACACACACACACACACACACACACACACACGCAAGGCGTGCAACGGATGAACACAATAACATTCCCCGACTGACTTGGAGTCTGTGCCTCGCTGTCTGCCTGGGTTGACTGGGATGCCTCATCTTGGCCCAGCACCTGCACTGCTCCCTCTTCTTCTTCTTCCTCCTCCTCCTCAACGTCGCTCCCGTCGGCTGCTTGCTTCCCCGACACAGACCGCCGCCGTCCACCAGCATACAGCTCATCAAGCGTGCCTGCAGGCACACACACAGAGAGAGAGAGAGAGAGAGAGAGAGAGAGAGAGAGAGAGAGAGAGAGAGAGGGAGAGAGAGAGAGAGAGAGAGAGAGAGAGAGAGAGAGAGAGAGAGTGTGTGTGTGTGTGTGTGTGTGTGTGTGTGAGTGCGAGTGTGAGCAAAGGTCATATGTACACAACCACAAGTCGTCGGTCAAAACGACACCAAGACTGCACGAGACCACCCTTTCCCAAGTGTCACACCTGCTTCAAGCGCCGCATTCCACTGGCGATCGGAGATTTTGTCCACAATGTAGTTGACCTTCTTCCTCCTGCGTGGGCCGAGCACCTTTGGCGTCGTGTCGGATGCTTCCTCCACCATCCGCGTCATCCGTGCATCGTCCTGACGACAGCGAGAGGCAACAGGGGTGGGGTGAGCATGCAATGTTGTTGTTGTTGTTGTTGTTGTTGTTGTTGTTGTTGTTGTTGTTGTTGTTGTTGTTGTTGTTGTGTAAATTGTGTTGTCAATGCACTGCTGGTGTGCAGGCTGTATGCAGATGCACGCAGTGTGCGTGTGTGTGCGCGTGCGTGTGTGCGTGTGTACTGATGTGGGCTGGGCTGACCGTCATCCATGCTGGCAGCTCGTCCTTGGAAATGAGACGCGTGTGGCGCGCTTCTGTCTTCCACGCTTTGTCCTTGTCCTTCATCTCCTGACAGCCACCACAGACAAATCAAGAATTGAAGCAACACGTGAGGAAATGCGCGTCCATGTGTGAACCGACAGCTGCTGCTGTGGTCTCCATGCACAAGTGGCGCTCATGAGGCACGCCACCACCACCACAATTGCCAGCATCATTGCCAGCCCACCTGATCCATCTCGTTGAAGAGCACGAGCTCCTGGTCCGATCGCGCCAGCATTTCATTCAACTGCGCATTCGTCGGTGGCCTCTCCTCGCCTGCAGCAGCAAGCAAACAAACCCAGGGCAGTCACATGCCACAGTTATGCGTCAGAGCAGCTGATACACATAGGCTTGTGCGGATGTGCATGTATTGTGCGTGTGCGTGCATGTGTGTGTGTGTGTGCGGGCGTGTGTTCAGGTGTTCAGGTGTGGACTTCCTCCGTGTGGTAGTGGGAACTGCATCAGCAAGAAAACGCACTCTCTTCGCGGGCTGCGTCACTTTCAAGGAGATTCTGCACTCAACACGTCCATTCACGCGAAGTAGGGTGTGTAGCCGCAAGGGGGCGGGGTGTCAACGGTGGATTGGAAACATGAATGAGCAAACAGCGAACAACACAACACGGGCACATGCGTGCACACATACACACATACACCTACACACAATCAGCACAACCAAATTTGCATTCACACGCACACGCACACCACCATCACGACACGACACGGCACGTTGTTGTGTGCGCACCTTGAGGTAGTTCTTGCGCACGTTGGCGTCGACCTTTTGTCCCGAGAACATGCCTGCTTGGATGACCTATGCGCCAGGAGAGGAAGTGGTGGTGGTTGGAGAGGGGGGGGGGGAAAGGTTGACGGGCGAGAGGAGGGGTAACAGCGTGTGTGAGGTTGCTTCAAAGGCATGGGTGGTAGCCGTGAGCGCTAGCGATGTGACGTGAAGGCAACCAGCAACGCAATGTCCTGCCATCACACACACATACACACACGAAACACCTTTTCGTCGACGTTGAGCTTAAACCGCGCGGCTTCAAGGATTGTCTCCTCAACACTGCACAGGATGCAATCGCGGTGGCCATCGTGATGAGTTGTGAGCGACAAACGAATTGTATTGAGATATTGAGGTGTGAGTAGGAGGTGGAATGAACGCGAGTGTGGTATTTGCGACGACAAGCAACACTAAGCATGTAGCTGTGTGTGTGTGTGTGTGTGTGTGTGTGTGTGTGTGTGTGTGCACCTGTTGATGGAGCAAAGACGGAATACGCGCACTTCGTTCTTCTGTCCAATACGATGGGCACGGTCCTGCGCGGATGTGCATCGATAGGCATATGGATGAATAGATGGATGGATGAGTTGAAGTGCGATGGGCCATGTCAGGGCCAGGCACGAAGCAGTTGAAAACAAGGCTCGCAGGTAACCTCACAGAGGACAAAGTCCGAACCACACACAGACACACAGACACACACACAGACACACAGACACACACACACACAGAGACAGGCACACACACAGACACTCACACTCACACACAGACACACACAGACACACACACAGACACTCACACACACAGATACACACACACACACAGACACCATGTCGCACCTGTGCCTGCAGGTCCTGGTGCGGGTTCCAGTCGCTATCAAAGATGATGACGGTGTCTGCTGTCTGCAGGTTGAGACCAAGACCACCGGCGCGCGTCGAGAGAACAAACACGTCAATCTGCGAATCGGGCGAGTTGAACTCCTTCACCTGCCGCCCACGCTCCTCGTCGCTCGTCCCGCCATCGAGCCTGCAGGCAATTCATGACAAATCAATAAGAATCAAACATAAACACATGAACAAATAAAGAAGCAGCAGCCACGAGCAAACCCGTATCAAAGCAGACAACAATTGCGGTGGTGAGACAGAGCATAAATTTGCCATTGTCGTCGTCGTGAGCATGTGGAGAGAGGCGGGGGCGCTGACGAATGTGATGCGGTGAACCGACCTGATGTAAGTGAGGCCAATTGCCGTGAAGAAGTCTTCAAGGATGGTCAGCAGTTGCGTCATTTGCGAAAACAGCAGAACCTGTGGCATTGGCGGTGACAACACACACACACACACACATGTGAGCAAGATTGGAGTGAGCTCGCCAAATAAGCAGGTGTTAATGCACGACGCAACACAAACGAGCACAAGCACAAGTAGCCACAGGCAGCCACAAACCATCACAAGCAGCAGCGCTGCACAACCACAATCGCCACGCCACGCATTGGTGTTCCGACCTTGTGCTTTGAGGCCTTGAACTTGGGCAGCATGCGCGTGAGGAGCTCCAGCTTGCCAGACGCACGCCACAAGTCCTCATCGTGCACGTATTGCAGCGAGCGGTGACGCGCATACGCAACCTCAATCTCCTTGAACAGGAACGGGTGGTTGCACAGCTTGCGCAATTGCATCAGCGTGTTCTGTTTGAGGAGGGATGGGGAGAGGGATGAGCGTGTGGCGTGGGATGCGAGTCATGGGTGAGTACGTGACAGAGGGGCAAGGAATGGGCAAGGAATGGGAACGGTTGAGTTGGGTGACGTAATCGGGTGTGATGTGATGCAGCAGCAGCAGCGGCAGCAACAACAACAACAACGACGACGACAACAACAACAACAACAACAACAGCAGCAGCAGCAGCAGCAGCAGCAACAACAACAACAATGACAACAACAACAACAACAACAACAACAACAACAACAACAACAACAACAACAACAACAACAACAACAATAATAATAATAATCAACAGCAAGAGAAGCAGCGTACCCTCAGGGCGTGAACGGTTCTTTTCTTGTGGTGGTGGCCCGATTTCGACTTTGCCTCGTCGCCCGTGAGCAGAACGCCGTGCTCCTTCATGTGTTTGTACAGCTGCTTCTGCAGGACCGACATCTCGCACTTGATCACATACTCAATCTACAGCCGCAACGCGCGCGCGTGTGTGTGTGTATGTGTGTGTGTGTGTGTGAAAAAGAAGAAGGGAGGGGGGAACCCATGGCGAATGCAACCAGCAAGGACTGCCATGCACTCTTCACCCTTCTTGCAAACGAACAAACCAAACAAAGCAAGCAACCAAACAAAGCAAGCAACCAACCAAGCAAGCAAAACAACCAGGACAGAGCAAGCGAGCAAGCAAGCAAAACAACGCAAACAAAGCAAACAAAGCAAACAAACAAACAGCAGCGGTTGTCACCTTATTTGGGAGCTGCGACTCGACGTCTTTCTTGAGGCGGCGAAGAAGGAACGGCCGGAGCACCTGCAGCCGTGATGCAAGCACAAACACATGTGCACAGCAGAGCAAATGGGGTGGGTGAAGTGCAAGATAGTACAAGGTGATGGAAACAAATATGGGGTCATGGATGGCGTGGAGTGAGCAGTGTTGTGGAAGCGGAATGGGGGAATACCCCCCCCCCCTCCCAGACAGCCATCAGGAATGGCTTGGGAGCGAATCGTGCCCAAGCAGCGACAGTCACATGATGGCGCACCTTGTGCAGGCGCTGGATAATAAGCATTGTCTCCTCATTCGACAGCTCCATGTTCTCGCCCGTGCCAGCAAAGGGCGCGTTGAACCAATCCTCAAAGTTGCGCACGCTCTGAGCAGAGTCCAGAGTTCGGGGCAGGGGGAGGGGCATGACGGTGGTGTTAAGCAAGAAGCTGCACACAGGCAGACAAAGCAAGCAAGCAAGCAAGCAAGCAAACGAGCGAACGCTTTGTTTGCTCAGGCACCCATGCACAGCACGCGCCATGAAGAAGGCACGTCCAATGAGTGCATGCAGGTGTTGGTGTACCTCGAAGATCTTTGGAAGGAGGAAGTTCAGGAGCGCCCACAGCTCGGGCAGGTTGTTCTGCAGCGGTGTTCCCGTGAGCAGCAGGCGGCGCTGGCACGAGTAGCTCTGCGTCAGCGTCTGGGTCAGTTTGCCTTCTTTGTTCTTCATGCGGTGGCCCTCGTCAATGATGAGGTACTCCCACGGCACTCGCCCAAGCGCAGCTGGGGGGCGGGGTGCATGGGGCAGTGTGTGTGTGTGTGTGTGTGTGTGTGTGTGTGTGTGCATACGTGTTGTGTGTGTGTGTTTGTGCATATGTGTGTGTGTGTGTTGTGAGTGCATGCGTGCATGAATCCATGTGTGAGTGCAAGCATCAAAATGCATATGGTCGTACACACAAAACTGCAACAAGCAAAAAGACAGCACAGGAATACAGCGCGTGTTGCGTACATTTGTCGCGAATGACGTATTCATACGTCGTCAGCAGCACGTTGTACTTCGCCTCCTGTTAACCAGACACATGTTGCACGAACGAAAGCGTGAACACGTGAATGGTCGGCACAAATGCGAGCACAAGGGGCACCAACCGCTACTTAAATACATGCATGCATGCAAGCAAACAAAGCAATGGTGCGAGCAAGCAATGGGTTCGCACCACGACGGTCTTCTTGAGGCTCTTGCGGTACTGTGGAGCACCACGGTAGACGAGCGCTTGCAGCACAGGCGCCCTGACGATGATGATAATGGTGGTGATGGTGGTGGTGAATTGTGGTTGTGATGGTGAATTGTGGTGGTGGTGATGAAACAAGGCAGCTGTGGAAAGAGGATGCCGCCAAGTGGCCACTGTTGCCATCACCCTCGCTACTGCGACCACAATCATCACATCCAATGACACGCAGCACACCATTTCTCGAGCTCCATTCGCCAGTTGGAGAGTGTGCTGAGGGGGACGATGATGAGGAAGGGGCCATAGTTCCGCTGGCAGCGCATGCATGCATGGTTTCATCATGGATATGAGCAAATGTTGTGCAGAAAGGGAAGCAGTGACAACATTGGGCACGCATGTATGCGCATGCTCCTGCACACACGCGCACACACACACACACACACACACACACACACACACACACACACACACACACACACACACACACACACACAAGCACATTGTCAAAAAAAAAAAAAAAGAAGAAGAAGAAGAGCAAAAAAGAAGAAGGAAGCCAAACACCCACAGCGGCACCTTGTACTCGAAGAGGTAAGTGAGGAGAGAGATGGTCTGGATGGTTTTGCCAAGACCCATCTCGTCAGCGAGAATGCCGTTGAGGTTGTTGTTGTACAGCGACACGAGCCACTCCAGGCCTGCACGCCACAAGCAGAGGTGTTGAGAGGACGAGACAACAAGGGGTAATTGGGGGGGGGGGGGGGTAAGGCGGAATGTATGGTTTGAGAAGAGCAAAGCGACATTGCAGATTGTCAACAACAGACATGCGCACAGAATCACACAACCACACACACACACACACAACACACGCACGCAAGAACAAGCACACCCGCACACACATATGCAAGCTGTTTGAGTGACCTTTGATTTGGTATGGCTTGAGCTGTCCACCGACGAGGATGCTTGGCTGCTGTACTTTCTCCTTGATGTCGTGGCCCGTACCAAACGACGCCCTGTGGGGGTGGTGTGTATGTGTGTGTATGTATGCGTATGTATGTCGGTGTATGTGAGTGTGAGTGTGAGGTTAGGCGTATGTGTGTGTGAGTGTGAGGTTATGCGTATGTGAGTGTGTGCGTGTGTGAAGTTATGCGTATGTGCACCTGCTCACTTCCTTTGCACATGCACACACACACGCATATGCACTTACTTTTCTGCCTCTTTCTTCTTCTCTTCTTCTATCCTTTCTGCTTCTCTCCTTTCCGCCGCCGCATCGTCTGCACATTCAACAACACCGACACGCAGGTAAAAAGGAACGAGAAACAGCCGCAAAATGGGGATGTGAGCACAACCAACGATGCATTTCTAAACAGAGTGCAATGCAATGCACCGTGACTCCTCACAACACAGATGAGCCGGCAGTCACCATCCAACTCCCATCAACCACCGAACACGGCAGCAGCAGCAGCAGCAGCAGCAGCAACAGCAACAGCAACAGCAAGGGCATCATCAGCAAGAGCAGGAGGGGAGAGGGGATGACCTTCTGTTTCGTCGTCGATGAGGTGCTCTTCGTCCAGAGCGTCCACGGCCTCGCTCTCCCGCCGCTTCCGCTTTGCTTCCTTCTCCTCTTCCCGCTGATGCGCAAGCACCTGCACACACACACACACACACACACACACACACACACACACACACACACACACAGACACACACAGACACACACACACACACATTAATGGTGAGATGATGTGAAAGGGGCGGGTAGTATGATTGTCTTGCTTGCAGGCAATACACACGCTCGCACGAGTGCACCACAGAGCAAAACGGATACAACCACAACCACAACCCAGACACCCAAGCGAGAAAGAAAAGCAAACGGCCGGCCACGCACCATCGTCTTCATGCTCTCCATGTGCTCGTCTGTCTTCTCCAGCAGCAGGGCGAGGCGCTTGTGCTTCTCCTTGTCAATCATGGCACGGTACCCGGCCTCATCCGACTCCATCAGCTTGCGCATTCGTTCCTTCTCCTTCTCCTGTTCGATGCGCATCGCCTCTCGCTCCTTCTGCTGGAAGTGCGACATCACGCCCTTGGCCGTGCGCGCAATGGCAGACCGATTCCTATGATGGTGTGTGAGCGTGCGTGCGTGCGTGTGACACGTGTGTGCGATGTGTGTGTGTGTGTGTGATGAGTTGAGATGTCAGCTCCGAAAAACATACCCATTGCCGTCCACAGACCAATTTTCCAACAAGTACATGAATACCACCAATACCACCACCAGCATCATCATCATGTGGTGCTTACGATCGGTGGAATGCCTTGAACTGCCTGACGTGGTCCAGGATCTCGCGCATGCGTCCCTCCTTCTGCGCTTTGAGCTGCCGCTGCAGCTGCAGCCGGTGACGCGCCTCATCCCGCTCCCGGTCACGGTGCACTGATGTTGATGGTGGCGGTGGTGGTGATGATGGTGGTGGTGATGATGGTGGTGGTGATGATGATGATGATGATGATGATGATAATGATGATGATGATGATGATGATGATGATGATGATGATGATGATGATGATGATGATGATGATGATGATGATGATGATGAGTTGGCGCATACTTCCGGCAAACACACACATCCACCCTGACACAGGCACGCACACATCCACCCTGGCACACACGCATACACCCATTCTGACACAGGCACACACATGCATGCACAGGTGCTCACCTCGAATTGCCTTCTTGCGCTCTTGCTTTGCTGTTGTCTTCGTCAGATTCAACTGAAGTGGCAACCGCCACGGTGGGATGAAAACGGAAAGGGCAAACAAGTCATGTGTTAGTGAACACACACAGCTGCAGACATGCACACACACACGCACACACACTCTCTCTCCCCCTCCTCACTCTCTCACACTCACACACTCTCTCACGGGCACCCAATTGCAGACAAGCACACGAGTCATGGTGCATGGATGTGGACAACGTACGCCACGGTAAGGAATGAGCTGTCGGCGCAGGTGGCGCTGGAGGTCAAGGAGCTCAAACGCGCGGACAGCGATGGTGGCAGACACCGCCTCCTCAGACTCAACATCGTCCTTCTTCTGCTCATATCGACAAGGGCGCACGCGCACCACGCAAACACACACACACGCGCACAGTTCTTGCGGTGAGCAAATATGCCAAGTGGGATCAGGCAACCGCACAGCCCAGTCATCATCACAGCAATGAGCAGCCATGTGTGTGTGTGTGTGTGTGTACCGAGAATTCGTCCTGAATGGCGAGGCAGCGGTTGGTCATGCGCGTGTTGAACTGTTCCCGTACTTCTCGCCGCAGCTCATCGCGTGTCATCCTGTGTCCACACACACGCGCACACACACACACATGCATGCACAAACATGTGCACAAGATCCGTGATGGGAGAAGCGTGAATGAGAGGGTGTGTGGGAGCGGCAGCAGCCGTGCTGAAGTTGAAGCGCGTGTGCGATACATGATTGCACAACAAATGCTATGCCACATGCATGCAAGCACATGTGTCCGTACTTGATAATGGGCAGGCGTGGCGGCTTGAGCGGGATGTCATCCTGCAGCTGCCGCTGATGTGTGAGCGTTCGCTGAAACGCAGGCACAACCCGCACTTTCCTGTTTGCACACAAGACACAGGGAGTGTGTGAGAGGGAGGCCCATTTGCGGGTGCGTGTATGCGGGTGCACACGTGTGCACGAGCTCAAACATTGGAGAGAAACATTAAAAAAAAAAAAAAAAGCACGGCGCGACAACACGCATGTGTTGTGTGGTTGATGTGACTCACCGCACGCTCGTGCATGTGAGCTGCTCCGGTGTGAGCGATTTGTTCTCCGCAATGGCGCGATACGCCTCCACTTGACGCTGCACACACACACACACACACACACACATTGTGTACACACACACGCATACACACACATACACACACATGAACAGGATGAGGCAGCTTCAGCATGAGCAAACGGTCGACGGTGCGCCTGCACACACGCACACACACATACATGCACTTGCACGCTCACACGCACAGCATCGCGCGTGTGCAAAAGCACCACGTGCAGCAGCAGGTGCTATGACCCACGCCACATCACGATCCAACATATCTGCAACAAAGACCTTTATCTGGTCGGCCTGGGCCGGCGTGAGGTACGACGTCTGCACAACCCACGGCGGTAGCGTCGCGTGTGGCGGCGATGACGATGGTGCTGCTGTTGTCGTTGTTGAAGTTGTCGTTGTTGTCGTTGTTGTTGGTTGCGGCGGCGCTGTTGATGGCGTTATTGTCGTGGGAGGCACATGACCGTTAGGCCGCTGTTGCTGCTGTTGTTGTGGCTGTTGTTGTTGCTGCCGTTGCTGTTGCTGCTGGTACTGCAGGTGTGCCTGTTGTGCGTGCATGTGCGTCCGCATCGGTTGTGCCTGCGGCGGTGGCTGCTGCCGTCCTCCTGCCATCATCGCTGGTGATGGTTGCTGAGCTGCGCCCGGCATCTGAACACCCGCAGCGGCGGCATTTGGGGTGGTCCTTGCCTGCACACCATTTGCCTGTGGCCGTTGCTGCTGCTGCTGCTGCTGCTGCTGCTGCTGCTGCTGCTGCTGTTGTTGTTGTTGTTGTTGTTGTTGTTGTTGTTGTTGTTGTTGTTGTTGTTGTTGTTGTTGTTGTTGTTGTTGTTGTTGTTGTTGTAGTCGCTGCTGCTGCACGTATCGCAGCAGTTGTTGGCTAATGCCCATCGTGACTCCCGAAGACGAGGACGCCACCAGCCCGCTCTGCAGTGGCACCCCAGACACCGCTGCCCGCTGCTGGTGCTGGTGCTGTTGTTGGTGTTGTTGTTGCCAGGGCCTGTAGCCTGTTGGTGTTGCCGCAGCAGAGCTGAGGACTGGTGACGATGATGCCACTGTTGGCACAACACCCACCCTTCCCGACGGTGCTGTTGTTGGAGTCGCAGCTGTGGCGGGGGTGGCGCGGTTCGCCGCACCAATTTGCCATGCCGTGGTCGCTGTTGATGTTGCCGTCGTTGAGGCTGCCGTGGTTCTGGCGGCCACTGCTGGTGCTGCTGCTGTGTTTGTTGTTGTTGTTGTTGTTGTTGTTGTTGCAGCGGAGCTGACCGGAGCGGTTGTCACTGCAAGCGCGGGCTTGTACGCGGCCGACAATGACGACGACGGCGACGACGACGACGATGCTGGAGGGAATGATAATTGCTGCTGCTGATGCTGGTGTTGCTGTTGCTGCTGATACTGATGGTGTTGGGTTGGGTTGACTCCACCAGACATGGCTGATGATGAAGTGACGGTCATGTGTGCGGCCGTCACTCGCGCCCCTCCCGCCATCGCTGCCGTGGAAGGCACGCTCGCAAACAGCGATGACGACGATGATGATGACGATGCAGGCGGTGGCGCTGATGCTGACACCGATACTGGGGCTGTTGTCGTTGGCTGCGGCATGCTCAGTGGCACAAGGGCGGGCCGCGTCGCCATCGTTGTCGTCGTTGTTGTCGTTGTCACAGGTCGCGAATCCCCGCTGGTCAGCCCAGACAGGTGCTGCTGAGGCTGCTGCTGCTGATGCTGCTTGGTGACAAGCATTGGGTGTGACACCATCGATGAACGCTGGCCCGCTGCTGCTGCTGCTGCTCCACTGGCTGTCGCACTCGCTCCCGTTGTCGTCGTTGTTGTTGCCGGCGCTGTTGTTCCTGTTGCCATGTGCTGTTGGGGCTGGCGCTGCATGCTCATCACGGCAGATGGGGTGATGGTGGTGGCAGCGACTGCAGGCGTCGTTGGTGTGGTTGTGTGGGATGCACTTGGCATTGTCACTGGTGCCGTTGATGAAGGAGCTGGTATCAGTGGTGCTGAGGATGCTGCCACTGTTGTTGCTGCCGGCGCTGTTATTGTCGTTGTTGGTGCCCCTGTAGACGCGGTGGCGGTGACAGCGGGCGAGGTTGTTGCTGGCACGGCTGTTTGCAGATTCGACTGCTGGTGTTGCTGTTGCAGCTGCTGGTGCGATGCCGTGGCGGGCTGTGTCGCGCCAGGAGCTGCTATCGATGTAGCCAGCGAAGACGACGACGACGACGACGATGGTGCGATTGGCATTGGTGTTGTCGCTGTCGTTGTGGATGTTGGCGCAGGGGCAGTGGTTGATGGTGGTGCCCCAACAGCGGCTGTGAGCGCCGTGGGCGTGGCACGACTGCTTGCTGTCATCATTGACGTTGAAGTGGCAGGAGCTGCAGCTGGTGCTGATGTCACCGCCACGTTCGTGGTGGTCGGGGCGCCGACGGGGGTGTATTGGCCTGTCGCTGCCGTCGTCGTCGTCCGTGCTGCCGATGCTGCCACCGCTGTTGAGGCCGGTGTGACTGCTGGTGTTGTGGATGCAACACATGTTGGCTGCGTTATCACGGGTGGAGTACTGGCTGGTGTTGCAGCACTCGTTGCGGTTGTGTGTGGAGCGGTGGCTTGTGAGGCCCATGTGGATGTGGGCGCGTGTGTCGGCGCAGCCGTGGCAGCAGCGTGTGTGGAGGTTGTGGGCTGCACCGTGCCAGCAGACGACAGTGGCCTCCACACAGATGATGCTGCTGGCGTGCTTGTAGCTGTCATGGATGGCGCTGTCATGGATGGCGTGCTGGTAGTTGCCATGCTTGGCATGGCTGCTGTCATCGTCGTCATTGTCGTCGTCGCTGCTGTCGCTGCTGTCGTGCCTGGAGGTGTCGTGCGAGCCCAAGGCTGCCCCATCACTTGGGTAGGTGGCTGCTGCTGTCGCTGCTGCTGCGCGCTTGCTGTGGCGCTGCCGGGAAACGAGACGGTGACAGGGGACACGGTGCGAAACCCAAGTTGCGTGGAGGCACGGGATGGCGGTGGTGTCATGCCGCCCATACCACCGGCAGCGCGCGCGCTCACCATGGAGGGGATGGGCAGTGCTGTGCGCTGCTGCAACGGAATGAATGGTGATGATGTATGCGATGTTGGCGTGGCGCCACGCGGGGTGCGGGCAGCCGAACTTCCCGCCGTCGACACACCACCATCATCGCCTTCTGTTGTCGCTGTCGTTGTTGGTGTTGGTGTGCTTGTTGCCGGCGGTGTAGGGGCAGGGGTCGTGCTTGTTTGTGTTGTGGTTGGAGGTGGTGTTGGTGTCGTTGTTGTCGTGGTTGCTGTTTGTGTTGCGGTCGGAGGTGTTGATGTTTGTGTTGTGGTCGTGGTTGCGGCTGCTGGTGCAGCTGGTGTGCTTGCTGATGTGCTTGTTGGTGTGCTTGCTGATGTGGTCGTCGGGATCATCGGTGATGTTGCCGTCATACGTGGTGGGGGCGTCGTTGTCGACTGTGCAGTCACGGGTGCCGATGTCGTTGTTGGAACGGAGGAGGAAGGTACAGAAGCAGCCGCATCGTTTGTGGTGGATTGCGTCGTTGGCATAGCCGTGTCCGCAGCACTCGCAGCAGGTGTTGTGGTGCTTGCCTGGGTTGTTGCCGCTGACAGCGTTGCCTGCTGTGAGGCTGAAGCAGCGTTTGTCGCTGTTGTTGTCATTGTTGTTGCTGTTGTTGTGGCAGCCTGTGTTTGCCCCTGTGGGCCTGCTGGTTGCTGCCGCGAGGCTGTTGTTGCCGGGTTGTTTGTTGTCGCTGGCGGTGACGCCGGTACAGCCGGCGCAGACTCGGTTGTTGCAGCTGATGTTGTCGGAGGCGACGCGTTGGTTGTTGTGGCTGGTACCGGACCAGGTTGGCTTGTTGTGGTGGTGGCAGCAGTGGTAGCGATGGCTGCACTTGTTGTTGTTGTTGGAATTGCTGGTGTCGCTGGCATTGCTGCGTCGCCAGCCTTGTTCTCTTGACTTGCCACAGCCGTCGTTGGTGTTGTCGCTGTGGTTGTGGCGGCAGTGCCATCATCCGGTGGTGTTGTTGTTGTAGTTGCTGCTGCTGCTATTGTTGTTGTTGTGGGGGGTGCAGGCTGTGGGTGACTCGTGGTGTTGTTGCTGTTGTTGTCACTGTTGGCGTTGCTGGAGCTGGCAACGGGCTCGGTGTCTGACATCTTGCACAGGTTCGGGTGATGCGCGGGCGACGGCCCTCAGCACACGCACACGCACGCGCACACACACACACACACACGCACACGTATGCAGCACGGACGAGCGCGAGCTGTGTCTGTCGGTGCACCTACGACTTGCTTGCTGCTTGCTTGCTCGTTTGATGACGATGATGTGAACGGTGGCCGTTGTCCTTCTCCCAAGTGCGTGTGGGCGCGCAAACGTTCCCTCCTGCTCTTTCTCTCTTGCAACGTTCGTTGGTGTGTGCGGAGACAGACAAAGACCGCCAGAAAAAAAGAATACATTGGAAAATAATACACTTTGTGGTGTTGTTTCAAGCTGTGCTTGCAAGCATCGAATGAATGGATGGGCGGCTCCTTCCACCATTTCGCACAACGTGCCTCCAAAGCACACAGCAAACCATCTCACGTCACGGATCATCATCATGATGCGTCAAGTGGATCCTCGCGTCGCGGCACTCGCGTGCACGGCAATAATGGTGATGATGATGGCTGCGACGGCGCTGCCTGTCGCTGATGATGCCTCGCAGCAGCAGCAAGACTACTGCATCCAAGGGCCCGTCTCCTTTGACGTTCAGGTGTGTGTGTGTGTGTGTGTGTGTGTGTGTGTGTGTGTGTGTGTGTGTGTGTGTGTGTGTGTGTGCGTGTGTGCGTGTGAGTGTGCGTGTGTGCATGTGAGTGCTCGTATGACTGTTTGTTTTATGCTGTGCCTATGCTCACCCCTCCTTCTTCCTCTTCCTGCCCTCCCTCCCTCTTGTTGTCTGCGCTATGCCCCCACCTCCAGGTGGAGGTGACGAGCACCCTCGGCTACCACTGTCAATCGCAGCTCGCGCAACTGAAGACAAAGGTTGGACCTAAGCATGCCATCACAAACATCACGCTGGCGCAGAGCCCAGGATTCCCCTGCTGGCAAGGAAACATCACCCTCACGCAAATCAAGGTGAATGTGTCTCGTGGGGTTGTGGCGGATTCAATTGTGCTTTTGTGGTCTTTGTTTCGTTTGTGTGCTGTGTGTGCTGTGTGTGCTGTGTGTGCTGTGTGTGCTGTGTGTGCTGTGTGTGCATTGTATGGTGTGCGCTGTTTGTTGCTGATTGGACTGTGTACATTTGCGCATGTCCGTTGGCTGCCTCCAAAACGGCTGGCTTTGGCGTCGTTTCTCTGGTCTTCGATGCCACACACACACACACACACACACACACACACACACACACACACACACACACAC